TAGACAAAATATTGATTGTTTTTGCTCAATTTCGCTTACGAAAATAGCCTCGTTTCTGAATGAATCAACCGTTTGAATGAATCGGTTGAATGAATGAATGAATGAATGAATGAATGAATAAATGACTTACTCATTAAAACAGACATTTGCCTTCACCAACTGGTGGTTTAGTCATATTTAAAAGTATCATTGCATTTTTTCAACATGTATTTGTATGTTTAAAAAATTTTTTTTAACATTAATCTTATAAAATTATTTATGCATTTGAAATTTTGCAGTGTAAATGCATTTATAGCACCTCAGCTTCATCAAACTGTCTGTGTAAATGCATCTAAAGCCACTTCAGCTGCAGCTTCTGTTTCCTCAGCAGTGGAAAGATAAGAGTTTGTTAATACTAATTTCATTTGAATGGTAACAACTCTACAGTTTTTTTATTATTCTAACTGAACTAATTGAAACAAAGTAAGAATTTGATGTGAAAGATGACACATTTAATAAGGTTAGGGGAAAAATTACCATTTATAAACATAGTGGGAAATGACATCTGTTTTGTTACATACAACAACTCATTTTAAGTTAAAGGGGTCATATGATGCTTTTTTTAAAGATCATTATTTTGTGTATTTGGTGTAACAGTATATGTTGACATGCTTTAATGTTCAAAAAACACATTATTTTTCAAATACTGTACATTATTGTAGGTCCTCTATGCCCCGCCTCTCTCAAACGCTTCGTTTTCTACAAAGTCCCTCCTTCCGACAAGCGCAGTCTGCTCTGATTGGCCAGCTGACCCAGTGCATTGTGATTGACCGAACACCGCAAGCACGTGTCTGAAATGTATCGCCCCTTACCATAATCGTGAGCTTCATCTTTCAAAATAAATGTAAAGACAGAGCCCGAAAGGGGAACAGAGTCGAGTGACAGACAGTGATGAAGCTGGTATGTGTGCAGTATACAAGCCACGGTTAAGACAGCTGACTCCACTTTGATCTCGATCACTCTCTCTCTCACACACACACACACGCACACGCACACACACACATACGATGCGCAAAACTCCGCATTTGAACAGTCAATAGCAAATACTTAAACTAATAACAAAACAGTACACTGTAAATTATTTCCAGGATTTCACAAGATGTTACTGTAATATTTCACAGTAAATTACATTATCACTTCACAGGCTTTAACTGTGATATTTCACAGTATAATAACGTATTCAGAATTTCACTGTGAAAATACTGCAGGCGGGGCAGTTACAGGAAACTACTGTGAATTTGCGCGCGATTGTTCATCCGAGTTCTCAGGTCTCATCGACGGATTCAGCAGTAAGTGTTAAAATGTCAAATTCTGTCAGTTTAATGACTGTTTTTCATATATATATCTGATCGTGCATGTAATTTAAAAGTAAGCATTTACCAAATAGCGTTACAGTAGTTGTAGGTTTTGGTTAACATTCTTGCATAGGTTTGAGCGCGCCAATTTTTTAAACAAGAAATGAACAGACATTGGTTGGTTGGTTGTAGAGTTAATTGTACCGTATTAAGTTGATATTTGAGACATGAAGCATTATTTGGAAAGGAAAAAAAAAAAGGTAATTATCTGTTAACTTTAACATGAGCTTTTCTTAGAGCTAACAGCGTTCTCTTTCCCTGCTATTCTCTCCTCAGCATTTTTTTCTGCGGTGACCACTGGAGAATAAAGTTGTAAGGTTAGCTGTGGCCTTCACCTAGGTAATTTATTTTATATTATCAACCAGATAAATTATACTGTCGTAGATTAGGGCAAAGATAGAGTAAATTAATCTCTAATTAGTAACGTTAGCTGGGCTTCTTCTCAATTTTTTCTGATGCTGTGTGTGAGATACGGAGGTGCAGGCAGCCGTTGCCAGCCGCCTCAAGTGAAAAATGAAGTGCGTGTGTCAGTATTCGAATTAAGCTATTGTTTGGGGGGAAAAACGTTACTCCTTTTGATCGTCTTTGTTTCTGGAATAGAAAATTCCTCTGCCAAATGTACTGCGCGTCAGTTTCCCCGTTGTTAGACCAAACTGCACTCATCTGTGTTTTGCAAGTACGTTAACGTTGGTTATAACTAGACAGTCCAAAGGACTTGCAGTTATTTGTACACTGTAAAAAATCCAACTTACATTTTGTATTACAAACTCAGTTTTTAAAGTTTATTCAACTATTTAACATTTAAAAAGTTGAGATAACACATAAAAGTAAGTAAAATAGAAATTTAGACCAATTTGTTTGACCAAATTAATAAAGTTGGAACAACTAACAACTTTAAGTTTGTTATAAGTATTGCCCACAAAGGCTGATGAGCATGCGCAGTTCGATCACTTTTTTATATACAACGCCATTTTCATTTCTCCCACTTCAATTTCGAGTTGCCTCAAGCGGCGACCTTTTATTCCGTCATTGTGATCGCTCCGTGAGTGTCGTTCTATGTGTATCAATTCACGATATGATTTAAGTGAAATTTGTTCACAATATGCGCTTCTGTACAGCATAGGTGGCGGCAAGTTAGTCATTTCCCCGCCTGGTCTTATGAGTTGCCTCAGGTCAGACGGCGGCTATTTTTTTTCTGACCGACCGTGTAATCACTCCGGTAGGTGCTGTTCTATATACAATATTTACCATAAGACTTGAATTATGTTTGTTCAAAATATGTGCTTTTGTAAACCGTATTTCCTTTCGTTTTAGAGTTGCCTCAGATGGTGCCCGTTCAACGTTAGTCCATCATTATCACTCCGGTAAGTGGTGGTTTTTTGTGTAACGTTATCAATTTAAGATATGATTTGAATGAAATTTGTTCACAATATGCACTTCTTTACAAAGTATCGTTAGGTGGCATCAAGTTAGTTAAATTTTCCTGCTTCGTCCTCGAGTTGCCTCAGGTCAGACGGCGCCAGTTGTTTTCCGACAGTGCAATCGCTCTGGCAGGTACTGTTCTATGCAGGCTGTGATAATTTACAATAATATTTGAATGGTATTTGTTCACAATATGTGCTTTATGTGTACAACTGCTTAACGTTAGGTGGCTCCAAGTTTGTCCGTTCAACTTCTGCTTCGTCTTCGAGCTGCCTTAAGTCATATGATGCCAGTTTTTTCCCCGACAGTGTCGTGACTTGGGTAAGTAACGTTACTGTTTTATGTATATTAAGTAAAAGGATTTAGATTAGGGTTAAGGATATATAATTTACTTTATTTGCGAGGGATGCACCGATATGAAAATTTTGGCCGATACCGATAACCGATTATTCTTTATTTTTGAAAGCCGATAACCGATATGTTGGCCGATAAATCTATATCCAAATTGTTATATACTTTTTGAGAGCCTGATTACAAAAAAGGTCTCATCATTAAAAGCCACATCCCAAACACTTCAACATAAGCAGCCTAGTTTGAACGGTGTACGTTTTAAAAATATTTTTACGCTCCCATTACCAAATTTAGTCATAAAAAAAGTCTTACAAATAAATAAAATAATGCATAAATAATGCAAACAAGTCACTGGACATCATTACACGTGTAAAGAATCAAAATGAATGCGCCATAGATCAATAAAACAGAATAGCCTCTGCACGGACAATAATTAAATGATTTTAATTACTAAACCATATTGTTGATGTAAGGTGCCCTTTTAGCCAGTGTGATTTTAAAACAAATCTGATTTCATCATTCAGTGGTCACAGAAGTCGGAAACATTGCAGCTTTTCCATTACAGACTTTAGAGCAAATATCGTTATTCAAAATGCAGAACCAAAAGACCGTGAGCCACAAACTGCCCAGTTATTTCCTGGAGACAGCCATCCTCATGAAACTGACCGGTACCCTCTTGAAGGGGAAAGTAGTTCTATGCCTTATCTTGATGAGGCAACAGAATCGGAGTTAGAATCGGTGGATTATCTAATACTTGAAAGGAAATTGTTCTCTTTGTTGCTACGCATGCACTTTTAACCGCCATTGCAATGAATTTTATATTGCTGGTGATAGATATGAAGGACAGATATGAAAGACTTTGGCCAATACATTTTTGACTGGACCTGTTGTTATTGTTGCACATTATTTTGGACTTTAATTTTGTATTAGTTTTTACTTGAAGCTTTCCCCATTTAATCAATTATATAGAAATTTTTACTTTTGCAACTCAAAGCTGACAAATAAGTTGAAGCTGCACTTAAAAAAAATCAAAAGTTGAGAACTCAAAAATCTGCTGAAGCTGGTTGCCTTAAACTTTTAAGTTTGTAACTTCTGATTTTTTTTTACAGTGACTTCAACTATCAAGTTTTGTAAACTTAAATTTCTAAATTATAAAAACTCCATATTTCTAGTCAACTAAACACAAAATTAAAAGTTTAACTAAGTTTGCTTAACTTAATATATTATGTTGATTAAACATGCACAAAAGTTTGTACAACTAATTGACCTTTAAGTTGAGTAAACTCAAAAATCTGCTGAAGCTGGTTGCCTTAAAATTTTAAGTTTGCTCAACTTCTGATTTTTTACAGTGTAGTTGTAGATTATACATTTATAATTATTGGCTTTTAATCGTTATCTTTTTATGGTGTTTGTATTCGTGAGCCACCTTGCAGCAGTTGTGACTATTCATAGGTTTCATGTGACGTCACACAGTGGTGCGGTCTTCATTTGTAGGACCGAATTGCAATTCCGTCAGTCTGCTGTGCTGTGCTCTGGGCTGTGATAAAAGCAAATCACAATGGATTATTTACTGGATTATTGGATGTATGGGATTCTTTTGATTAAATATTTCTCGTAAGCATAGATGCGTGTTTACATTTTAGTTAGCAAGTTCATAATGAAACTTGCAAAAGGTTCAATTCGCGTGCGTGACTGCTGATTTGCCAGAAAACTTTCGTTATGCTCCACCTAAAGCTAATAAATCAATGAGATGTTTTTGATCTTTGATCTAAGTACAGTTATGTGAGTCTAGAATGTTTACGCTGCACTAAACGTTGACGAACAACACTCCCATCCGCAAACAAACAGATGAAGAAGAGGAGGATGATGACGGTCCAGCGCATACAAGGAGAAAGGTTTGTAGTTTTAGTTTCCACATTCTTATTTTTATGAATGTAACTGAAAGTAATTACTTCAAGGATGTTAGAGTGAAGAGGACCTGTTTGTACTATTACTATTATAATTCTGTAGAAGAACGTTATTTTAAAATAATCTGATTTAACTAAATAAGCTAGTTGCAGTGATTATTGCGATGGCAATGTACTGCTGCAATCAAATATATATATATCAATATGTCTGAGATCATATGCAGTAGCTGTGTCCTGCTTTTACAGTTGCTAAATGTAAGCAGACTTATATGTACAGGTGCTCACCACTGCCAAAACACATGTAACCGACTACAACAAAACACAGAATCACAGTTTTGTTGCTACTTTAGTTGCTGCTTCACTTAGCATGTACAAACATACAGGAATAACTGAATATTTCTCTTAAATGAGCCACAAATGTCTTTTAACAATGTTTTGTAGTAACCGAGAGAAATGTCATCGCAGAAGAAATGGCAGAAGTTCCTCAGACACCTGTGAACAGCGAGCAGTGCTTGGAGTCAGACAGTAGACTTCATCTTTATTATACTTCTCTGACTGGACTAGCAAGGAGCAGTTAGAGTCCATGAGAAAGTAAGTTCAAGTACATGTCTGCACTGACCATGATTATACTATATAATATAATGTTTTCTGCAATAATTGGGGGAATCTTAACTGAGGAGACAAACTGACCAACATGAAGCTATGGATCTATTGAATGTGTATTTTTCAAGCATTTTATTGTGGCATTCACTGTTATTTTTCTGCACAGTGATAACTAGTGAAAAGTGTTTCTACTAATTTACTTAAGTATGGTTAACCCAGAATTCTGTCATAATTTACATTATTACATCAATTCCCCCTCTTTTTTTTTCAAACCCCTGACTTTTGTTTTTCTGCAGAACTCAAAAGATGATATTTTGAAGAATGCTGGTAATCAAAACCAACAGCTTTGTCACGTGTAGACGACATGAAGGAATATATAAATTTTTGGGTAAACTCTCTTTAATTAGGATTATACACACTTTAAGTTTCTATCATACTGGACACAGCCACTTAATGTGCTAGAATTAAATGGGAAAATAATAAGTAAATAGTCTTTCAAACAACATGTGCTTTGATACAATATATATATATATACACACATTTACTTTCAGTTTGGTGCATTCAGATAGACCTTTAGTAATAGATACTTGTGCATTATTTACTCTTTACAGGTGCAGAAATGAAAGCTCCCAAGCAAAGTACTCTCTGGACTAAGACGTGGAAAGACATGCTGCACAATGACCCACAATGAGCAACAACCAAGAACAGTATTCACTGATTACCTTTAAAAATTATTCATAGTAACAGTTAGGTAATAATTTTACCAAGTACAAAATGTTTAATTCAAAAACTTTGCCATTTACCAATGTGTTTCTCAAAACACCTTTTACATTTTTAATGTTTTAACCTTTATTAAATGTTACAGTCCAAGTACATATAAATGCCTCATTCATTCAAGTAAATGCATGGGTAATTTAGCAAAATGTGTTAAATATTTTATCTAAACCCCTTCTGAAAAAGAGAAATCTTGATAACACCATATTGAGCAACTATAGACCAATATCAAATCTTCCTTTTTATAATTTTCAAAGTTTTTAAATTCCTTGTTTTATTGTTGTGATTATTGTTTTTATTTTATTTTATGTAAAGCACTTTGAATTACCATTGTGTATGAAATGTGCTATACAAATAAACTTGCCTTGCCTTGCCTACACTTATTGTATAACTGCTACTTTTTTGCTGTAATTGCATGGTTTTGTAAATAAATTTTATTTATTAACCAGTTTGTAAGAAATTAATGTGAGAACTACAATAAATTTTAATATTTTTTATACTCTGGTGAAAGTGTGATGTAAACATTCTTTAAAAATATATTAAAATCCATAACACTACATACTTTCTGCATACTATTTACAATTATATTGCATCAAAGTGTGTAACAGAATTGTGAACTATGTACAGTAGCTTCTATTGCAATGAAATACATAACTATGTATTTAAAAAAAAAAAACTAAAAACAACTACATTTAAACTGAGGAATGATGTAAACTTAAGTCAGTTTTAGTAAAGAACAGTCCCACAGTCTGATCAGCAGTCTTTCAGACAGTACCTAATGAGATGGGTGATGTTGCTTTTCAGCTGTTAAGGATTTGATGTCTGGTTGAATCGACGTCAATTTAAGACGGAGATCAGATTCCACACTCAACACATTCCTGTACTTTGTCTTTAAGGCCACAAGCACCGAAAATCCCACTTCACACATATACGTTGTGGCAAACGGCATCAAAAACATTATTGCCTTGTTGGCGAGTTCAGGGTATTCGTTTGACACATGTAACCAGAACTGAGTCAAAGTTTTTTCAGAAAAAATCCGTTTCAAGGAGCTGTCACAGGATAGATCGACAAGGCTGTCCTGTTCCTTGTAGGTGAGTCCCGCAATTACATCCTCACTGTGGTTGGCAAAGGGATACTGTATCCAGCTCTGCTGTTTGCTGATGTCAGGGAAGTAGTCCTGCATCTGAGACTTTAAAGCCTGCATGTGCTCTGTCATAGCAACTGCTGCAGTGACGGGTAGTGGCCTTTCCTCCTTGGACAAAATGTCGGACACGTTTTCGAAGGACTCAAAGTTGGCTCTGGCAATTTTTTTCCCCACAGATCAATTTTCTTTATGGTTGCCTCTATTTTGTTATGCACGTGAAACATTGTTACTGCTGTCCCCTGTAGGGCTAGATTGAGTCCATTCAAGTGGCTGAAAATGTCTGCCAAGTAGGCCAATTTACAAAGCCAGTCGAAATCACAGAGGCGGTCTGCAAGTTCAAATTTGGAATCAATGAAAAATGTTCTGACCTCGTCACGTAACTGGAAGAGCCGGGTGAGCACTCTGCCGCGTGAGAGCCAGCGGACCTCGGTATGTAGTAAAAGCTGGCGGTGTTCACTGCCCATCTTTTCACACAAAAGGGAAAACAAACATGCTTGCAGTGGACGACATTTAATGTAATTCACCATTCTGACAGCATCGTCTAAAACGGTCTTTAAATCTCTGCTCCTCTTTTACCGAGCAGCCACCGTCGCATTTTTGAATTGACGGTTAATTGTGACTGAATTCCTACTAAGCAACCAACGTCAAGTTTGAAAATAAGCAATGTATCTCACCTCGCTATAATGGGAAAAAAATGTTTTTATGTGTTTTTAATTTGTGTAAAAAGAGGTTCTAATCACATTTTAGAACAATTAGAATATTTTAATTATTTTAATATTTTGATTTAGCCTAGCCACTGCCCCCCTGCAATACCGCTACGGCCCACCGGGGGGCCGTGGCCCACAGTTTGGGAAGCACTGATCTATATAATTAAAATGAAAGTAAACGTTTTGTTTAGGTAACGTTATTAATTTTAAATGAAATATTAATGAACAGTACAGTAGATATAGAAAAGCAGCTGTGCTAAGTCTGGCGTTCTGCGCAACAGGCCGAGTCCGGCTTAGGTGCCGCAGTGTCGGCAAGTTATGGCTGTCGCATCTGGTCCGGTTGATTCGGCCCAGAATCTTAAAGTGAGTACGCAAGCATCCAGGCTGGGTGCTGCAGATGGATCCTGGCCGATGGACAAGTCTCTTAACAGGTGAAAGTTTAACTGAAAACGGCCCGAGTGTACGGAGAGGGATTGTGTATGAGGTAGATGTAAATAGCCAGCAAACGTCAAATTGGTAAGTTTTTCCCTAGACTTCGCTTGACAGTAAATAAGGATCTAATTCTAAAGTGTCTATTGTTTTTAATACCATTGTTTTCCGTGTTATTTTGGTTTCTGATCACCAAGGAGAGGCTACGCAAGGTCCTAAAGATGGTGGCCGCAACAAAAAAGTCACGTAACTGAAACCCATGAATAGTTACAGGTTGGTGAAGCAGCTTTCTAGCTACACACATCGTGCATTTTAAGGTTGACAACCTGAGTTTTTCTGTTACGTTTTATGTGGTTCAGTAATTTTTTTTTGCGTGTGATCCTAATATGTTAACTTGGTGTTATTAGGGCAGTCTTCCAGCTATAATTATTCAAAATCACAGGATTGTTGGTTTTAAATCCCTGTTAGCTCCGTAATTTGTTTTCTCAACAGAATAGAACACGATGTTCAACTGTAAATTCAGTTCGTGTGAGCATGTGTCTGAGACTGTTATTGAGTGTGTTCAGCACTCAAAACTGCATAGCAACGCTCCCAATTATAAGTACCATTGTGGTGCATGCCTGAATGCTCTCGTATGTATCGCACAGCAAATGTATTAAAAACTCATATGTATAGAAAGCATAAAGGGCTTGGATCATCTGTGCAACCTTGCATGCAATTTGAAACTCCCTTAAAATGTTTGGCTCAGTTTTGTACAGTTACATGTGACACCTTAAGCTCCCTCATCAAGCATTTGCAAAAATTTTGACTCTGTGCTACCATAGGAGCAGATTTTTAAAGGGATAGTTCACCCAAAAATGAAAATTAGCCCATGATTTACTCACCCTCAGGGCATCCTTGGCGTATCTGACATTCCTCTTTCAGACGAACACAATCAGAGTTATATTTCAATTTGTCCTGGCTCTTACAAGCTGTATAATGGCGGTGAAAGGTGCCCCTGTTTTAGAAGCCTAAAAAACTGCATCCATCCATCCATCCATCATAAATCTACTCCACACGGCTCTGGGGTGTTAATAAAGGCCTTCTGAAGCGAAACAATGCGTTAGTGTAAGAAAAATATCGATTTAAAAAATGTATAAACTGTAATCTCCAGCTTCCGGTCGCTCAAGGTGGTGCGTTCACGACAAGGCGTTCAAGTGTATGACGTAGGTGTAGCAGAAAACACAACGTAAGCTCCAGGGAGAAGAGTGTAGTCTCGTGAGAACCAAGTTTTGTTTACAGCACAGGGAAACCACGTGAACTACATCTGTAGTTTTTGCCGCCGCTGCAGCCTCCATCTCGTGGAGTTCCTGTTCGGTTTACTCCGGTTCAAACAAATATGGCTGGGCAAAAAACTCATTCTCTTCTTGCCTTATATCGAAATCCTCCGACATTTTCACTCAGAATCTTAGTTTTTGTAGTACTAGTTCGTGACAGGTGTTTTGTTTTGCTTTCTCCTCTGGGCTTCTGCGTTCGTCACTTATGTTGCGCCTTCCACTACATCTACGTCATACGCTTGAACGCCTTGTCGTAAACGCGCCTGTTTGAGCGACCGGAAGCTGGAGATTACAGGTTATAAATAAATAAAAAAATCTATAATTTTCTTACACTAACGCATCGTTTCACTTCAGAAGGCCTTTATTAACACCCCGGAGCCGTAGTTTTATGATGAATGGATGGATGCAGTTTTTTAGGCTTCAAAAACAGGGGCACCTTTCACTGCCATTATATAGCTTGGAAGAGCCAGGACAATTTAAACATTTTTAAATATAACTGCTATTGTGTTTGTCTGAAAGAGGAATGCCAGATACGCCTAGGATGCCTTAAGGGTGAGTAAATCATGTGCTAATTTTCATTTTTGGGTGAACTATCCCTTTAACAGTTGAATCTTATTCTACTCTTATTCGATTGATTTATTATTTTTGCAGCCTTGTGCCACAGACGTTGAAGGGACTATGACGCTACCAAGCACCCCTCGCTTGATTGTCCAAGGTAATGTTGATGTCTTCCTCATTTTTTTATGTATTTTCAAATGTCAAGCTGTCCACAGATTTGTTGTGAGCAGTTTCATGTAGGATCTGTTTTCTTTCTAACAATTAGAATTATTGCAATTATTTTTTTCTTTAATTATTCATGTAAGACCCAGTAGATAGAATATGCTGCCATACTACTCTTTTCACTCTAATTTCTTTAAAAAAAATAAAAATGATTGATTCCTTTTCTGAACACTAGTGCATGATGACTATATATGGTTTTGTTTCAGGTGACACAATGAAGCCGAGGACATGGATGCTGTCTTTGGAGGGTCAAGTGGTCATGGGGCCTCACCCTGACTTTACAACTGGTCTGGCTGCCATTTTTGCCAGCTACTATAATTTAAATCTGAAATATTCTGACGATGCTTCTTGCACTCTGGAATTTATCCAAAGGTAATGTCTACATTAATATTGTATTTGAGGGCTTTTTTGTTTTATTTGGTGGGTTAAACAAGGAATGTTTGGATGTGTTGTGTTTTTACAAGCCGCACAGGACTTCAGCAGCCAAACAGTGAAGACCCCCATCTCCCACTCAGACAAGTGATGCGTTGTAGACT